CCCGCAACACTTGCCCTTCGTTGCCCCCGCTCGCTCGCGCCCTTCGTGGTCCCATACGCATGCGTTTCGTGGCCTCGTTGCAGCCCTTCGTGGCCCCCTCGCTGCCCTTCGTGGCCTCGTTGCAGCTTTTCGTGGCCCCCTCGCTGCCCTTCGTGGCCCCGTTGCTGCCCTCAGTGGCCCCGTCTTGGCCCCTCGCGGCCCAGTAGACGTATGCCCTTCGTGGCCCCCGCTCGTTCGCGCCCGTTGTGGCCCCATGTGCATGCCCTTCGTGGCCCCGCTGTCGCCGTTTGTGCCCCCCTCACTGTCCTACGTGGCCCCGATGCTACCATCAGTGGCCCCGTCGTTGCCTTCTGTGGCCCCGCAATATCTGCCCTTCGTGGCCCCCGCTCGTTCGCGCTTTTCGTGGCCCCATACGCATTCCCTTCGTGTCCCCGCTGTCGCACTTTGTGGCCTACTTTGTGTCCTTGTGGCCCTGCTGTCGTTCTCTCTAGCTCTCGCTTTCGCTCGTCGTCGACGTCGTCGTCGTCGTCGCCATCGTCGTCGTCGTCGTCGTCGCCGTCGTTGTCGTCGACGTCGTCGTCGTCGTCGTGGTCGGTCCCCTGTCCGTCCGTCTTGGTGTCGGGTCGACGGTCCGCGGCCGCCCCGCCGATCAGCGCTGCCGCTGGCCAGGCTGACGGTCCGCGGCCGCCTCGCCGCTTACCGGGGCCCGGCCTGCAGGGAAGAAAGGTATACCCCCCATGAGGGGTTCGACCGAAGACGAAGAGGGCGGGTATCGAGGGTTTGGGAAATACGCGTTATTGGACACTCGAGCAGATAAGGGCGAACAGTCTTAAACTGATTGTTGTTGTTGTTGCTGCTGCTGCAGTAGTTGTTGTTGTTGTTGTTGTTGTTGTTGTTGTTGTTGAACATTATTAATTCTCAAGAATAATTATTGTTGGGCCCCCTGGTGCACGCCCCCCCCCCCGCGCCTAGGCCGCAGCCACATTTTCATAATTTTCGTGAGGAAGTCTCAGGTAAAACGATGTCATCCAGATCCGGTTGTTTTGTTGACGCCCGCTTTCCCTGTCAAAAAACACTATAAAATGACATGTCTTGTTCTAACATAACCAAACTTCAAGAATCCTTTGCAAAAAATGACACGAAGTGCACACTCGCGCGCGCAAGATGAAATCCTTCCAAAACCTTAGTTTTCGTAGCGATTTTAACATAAAAACATGAAAAACCCAATGGTTTTTCAAAAAAAAAGTTTCAAAAAATCATCTTGCGCGCTCTTGCGGATTTCTGAGGAAACCCAATATTTTTTCAACATTTCTGTCAAACGGGCTCTTGCGAGCAACTTTTTCACGTGCTTCGAACTTCTGCAACAACGGTTGCGCGCATGCCAGGGCCATCATCCCTGTCAAATAATACCATATTGGACACATTCGTTTTTTCTTCGCGCGCGCACGCCGTCGTCGTCGGCCGCGGGGCCCTGAATAGTAGCCACGGTCGTCCGCATGCCACGAAGTGAAGTGTCCGAACGTCATAGGGCGGGAAGCTGGGTGTGGGTGGTGGCGAAGAGTCGTATGGAAATTTGGTAGAGCTTGAACCGGCCCCCCCACAAAGTGGGGGTATTGCCCGCCTCCTAAGAAAACCCTGGCACTGGTGAGAACGGAGTGTCCCCAGTCTTAAATGATTGTTGTTGTTGTTGTTGTTGTTGCTGTTGTTGTTGTTGTTGCTGTTGTTGTTGCTGTTATCGCCGTTGTTGCTGCTGCTGTTGCTGTTGCTGTTGCTGTTGTGGTTGTTGTGCTTGTTGCTGTTATTGTGGTTGTTGTTGTGGTTGTTGTGGTTGTTGTTGTGATTGTCGTGGTTGTTGCTGTTGTTGTGGTTGTTGTTGTTGTCGTTGTTGTTTTTGTGGTAATTGAATTTCTCTACTGAACATTACTTATTGTTGATTCCCCTCTGGTGAACATGGCATTTTTCAATTGACATGCCCCTCCCGGCGCTCGCACCCTACTTTTTGATCAGGGAAAGTCTTCCTCCGCAAACTGCGTTGTGGGCTCCCGGATTAAAACAACAACAGCGGCTCCCGCCTGAGACTCCCTCACACTTTAGCCAGGACCCCCGCTCCCGTCTGAGACTTCCTCGCATTTTATTCAGGAATCACGCTCTCGCTTGGGACTTCTTTCAATTTATTCAGGAATCGCTCTCTCGGCGCTCTGGAGTCGCGCTCGCGCTGGAGAATTGCTTGCAATGTACTGAAGAATAGCGCCCTTGCGTTGGACTTTCCCGCAATTTACTCAGCGCCGCGCTCCCGACACTCAGGCACCCATCAATCGCGCTAACGCTTAGGGCTCCCTCACAGATTACGTAGCACCCCGCAATTGCGGATAAGAGTGAGGGGGCGGGCGCGGGCGACGCGGGCGTCGAGCCGGCGGACCTCGTGGCCCTCACCTCCCCTGTCGATTGGCGCCCTCCTCCTCCGTTCTTGGCTTGTTCAGTGAACGTAGTTTGGGTCGCGGGTGGGTCGCGGGCTCTCCACTTCCACCCGGAAGGAATTCAAAAACAGCCCGCCGC